TAATACTTTCCTTGTGTCTTTGGTGTTCTTCATTCTCCTTTACTCCAGGTGGTTGGGACCAATTGATGCATCTTAGATGGCCGCTCGCTAGCTTTTAAGACGCCAGATGCCACTCACCAAAGTAGGATGCAGAACATTTTCTTTGTAAACTTTGCTATGCCAGTTGACCTAGATGTCCCCTGAAAGCATGGTCCGCAGGCCCCGCCCTTGCTACTCTGTCCCTCAAATTGTTTGGTTGTATTCAGGAAACTTCTTAGCTTCGTTTAGTCCAGTTGTGCTGACTTCCCCTGTAGTGTGTGCTGTCCTTCCCTTCACCTAAGATAATTCTTGTCTACTATCTAGTTAGTGAAATACCCTCTCCCTCCCTCCCCACCTTCGTAACCATCAAAGAATGTTTTCTTCTGTATTTAAACCTTGAGTTCTTATAATAGTGGTCTTATAGAATATTTGTCCTTTAGCACCTGACTAAATTAATTCAGCATAATGCCTTCCAGATTCCTCCATGTTATGTTTCACAGATTCATCATTGTTCTTTATCGTTGCTTAGTATTCCATTGTGTGAATATACCATTAACTTGTTTATCCATTCTTCCATTGATGGGCACCTAGGTTGTTTCTTTTTGCTATCAGATGTTACACAAATCTTGTTCGTCATTTTCTTCTGATGTTGCAATTACTGCTGCTTACTAAGGTCGTTAATACCTTAATTGCAAAATGCAATGAATACTCGTTTTCATCTTAACATTCCCTTTAACTTTTCTTTCATGTATCCAGTTATTCATCAAATATTTAATGAGAATATACTATATCACAGGTACCACACTTCGTGCTGGGAATGCAAAAGTGAGCAAAACACACATGGATCCCATCATTAGGGGACTTTTACTCAGGCAAAAAGTGTAGTAAATGCTACACAGGGCACCTCATCTGGTCCAGAGGATCAAAACCTAATTTGGCACAGTAGAAGTAATGTTAAACTGAGATCTGAATAAAAAAGGAAGGGAAAAATATTTCAGCAGCAGAAGCTTGAAGGAGTGGAGGCAAGAAAAGAACATATGTATTTGAGGAATTTAGAGGTACCTAAAGACTATGCTGCAGAGTGGGAGGAAGGGCAAGAGAGATAAGGAAGGACCATTTCATAAAAGGCTTTGTAAACTGTGTTAGAGTTTGGATTAAAGGCAGTGAAGAGCCATAGAAAAGGGTGTAAAGAGGGGAAGGGCAGGGGAAAGATCACTCTGGCTGCATGTTCTTTATTTTTTATTCCATGTCTTAAATTATTTTTGTTGTTGCCTTTTTCTAAATAATTTAAGAAGCTAAATTAAATATTCACTTTGGGTGAAAACAAACTCTCTAAGCATCACAGGTAAATTATCTGTAAAATATAAGTTGTTTTTAGCAAAGCAGTTTCTTGACTCCTGATTAACATCACAACACAGATAAGGTTTAATAGATCATCTTCCTTTTATTTGAAACCAGTTGACTCTAAATTATTCATGTTAACCAAAGAACAGATATATATACATATATATATATATAAAACCTAAAATGATCAATAATCCAGAATTGTTTCTATTTCACTTTAACGTGCTTCTTCATTTTCATTTAATCATGGGTATATCTGAAATCTTGGAATTTACTTAGTCACACCACAGAAAAGGAGCACTCCATAATACCTAGCCTTGCAACCCGTCCCATGCTGGGAACTGAAAGCATGTTTTAGAATGATGTCAAGACTTAGTAGAGCCTGGTTTATACTTTTTTATACACTTTTCTGTGTTGATTTTTTTAAAAAAACAAATATAGTTTTATGATTTTTCTGGTAATAAAAATATTTCCTTTTTGAAAACAGAGGGAGTAGAAGTATCCTCTTTCACATCTTCCTGGAGAAGGCTCAGGTTTAATTAATTGAGTTTAGAGATTGTCTCTAAACTCACGTTTAAAGTACATAAAAAAAATACTAATAAGTATGGCCCCCAGACACCCTTTTAACTCAGTACTGAAGTCATTAAAAAACTACTAAAAGAATTACTGATTCTTTGCAAACCAAAGAAAACTGTTATTTAGGTTTCCAATATGGATAACTTAGATAATGACTATCTTTCAAAAAATTTTGTGGAAAATACTAAAAAATGAATAGCAATTTCAGCAACCAGTGGAGAATAGGGATGTTATAGAATTAAAAAATATTTTTGATAGAGATTACTGATTAAAGATTTGTTTTCTAATTGTGTGAAATAAATGAAGTGTTTTTACATCCCAAACTAATTACAACATAGAATATCTGCTGACAATATATTTAACCTACTCAGTCAACAGTAGTTGTCGATTTCAACTCATGGCAACCCCACATGTGCAGAGTAGAGCTGTTCCATAGGGTTTTCAAGGTTGTGACCTTTCAGAAGCAGATTGCCAGGTCTATCTTCTGAGGCGCCTCTGGGTGGGTTCTAACTGCCAGCTTTTCAGCTAGTACTTGAGTGCTTAACCACTTAATAGTTATGCAATAGTTAAAAAACATTATCTTGATATTTAACAGTTACTTCTAACTATGCACTGTTTTCAAATAAAAATTGTTGTTGTTAGGAGCCATTGAGTTGGTTCCGACTCATAGCAACCCTGAAAGACAGAGAACTGCTGCCTAGAGTTTCCAAGGAGCGGCTGGTGGATTTGAACTGCCAATCTTTTGGTTAGCAACCGAGCTCTTAACCACCAGGCCACCGGGGTTCCAAACAAAAATTAGAAAGGTGTTAGCTGATGGATTTATAATCCTTGATAGGTGGAAAAGGACTAAGAGTTGTATCTTAAAACAGAAACTCTTAAGTATTTTCAGATTATCAGTTAAGGCTGTATAATTCATCAAATGTTGACTTAAAATAATCATCTGAGAAAATGATGAACCATTTGTACATAGGAACTCTGTGTGATATGATGATGCTTTTTGCTAATACTGCTTCCAACTGTTTTAATTCTTTAAAAAAAAAAAAAACCAAACATTTTGATTTTGTTTAAAAAACTGTTTTCATTTTAATGATCTGAGTTAGTAATAAACAAATACACAAAATTGTCTTTCACATTTCCATACATTGCATTATGGACCACTTGAAACTCTGGGCTACAGATGCAGAAGGTTTCTTTGTATCCTTAACTTCAATTATTGTCACTTATAAATAAAGGTGATTTTTTGAAAACATGCATTTGTGAACATAGATGCCAAAAGTTGTACAAGTAAAATAATGCACAACCAATAGTGTACATTGTTCATTTGTGTAGTTATGTGTCAAGTGCCACTGACACAGAAGCAGTTATCCTGGGATATTTTACTCTATTTGAAAAGCATTTTTAAGAAACAGATGGAAATATAATTTAAAACAAAAAAAAAATGTTTTTACAAATACAATAAAATTCAGAACTTGCAATGTGAAGCAACTTTTGGGAAATCTTCAAAAATACTACTGCTATACTGGTTTTATGGGTATATCTCAAAGGTTATAGGTTAGAATATAGCTGCTTTGAAGAAAAATGTTTATTAAAAGAAAAATGAGACTAAAAATTTTGGGGAGAGCTTTGAAAACAGTTCTAATGCATGAGTCCCTCTACATAATTTCATCTTTGAGTTTTAGAAATTTCAAGTTACTTCTGGAAAATTTCTGAAACATTTTAAAATAAGATTTTTCCATCTTACCAGTGTTTCCTGTTTAATAGTGTAATAGAATCATTATAAATGTATGACTTCATTAGAGGATCAAATGAATGGAAACTGGGATGTAGTGAAAATGAAAACAAGGAAGGACCCTCTCTAACCCCTAATCAGAACTAGAAATGAACACCCAACACAGAATAATTTTCTACATTAAATTGTTTTCAAATCTCTGTAGGTAGGAAAATCTAGTCTTTCTTTAAAATGTTTCCTGGGTTGTGGCAACATGTGCTTTACCTCTTTACCGCTACAATCTAAAGTATTTCTATACCATAAATTTCAAACTCTATAGCAAGAAATGTAAATGCTAACTAGCTAGGTATTTATTTAACTTCATACAAAGAGAAGACTTATGTATGGTTGTCGTAATAGTCCCCTTTTTCTCTACGGCCTGAGAATGATGTTTTTTGTCTAAGCAATATGGACCAAATGAGAGAAGACAGTGCAACAAAACAACAGGGTCTCCTTGAGGCAGTATCATAGAATTGGCCCCAAATTTTATGAAAACACTTGTTTTACTAAATTGAATACAAGTGCAAACAGTTTGAGGGCAACTGCAGTTCAAAAGGAAATGGGTTATTTTCTACAGGAAACAATATCTTTGTTTTCCATGGGGCTTACCATGAAGAAAATGTGGCTAGTGATTTCAAACATCTACTTCAAGTTACCTGAATGCAAGGCAGCTTTCAAAAATATTTAAACCACCAGGGATTCAGGAAAGTAAGCTAGGGGAGTAGTAAAGACGTATACATATAACACTACTAGAAGATATAGTTCTCTACTCTGCAGTTTGGAAATGAAAGAAACCAATTCTGTCCAGAGTCAGTACTATCAGAAAGAAATATGGCTGCTTCCTACTCTTCTCCTCTTAGCAAAAATAATTTTATGATGCGCCCACTGCTGATATTCTGCATTTCTTATGAGTCAGGTAAAATGAATCTAATAGGCTACTTCTGTTTTCAAAATAAGCTGCCCATGCAGGTTTTTAAAAATCTTTCAGAAATGGAACATTGAACTCTTGAGAGAAACTTCCATTACTGAGTATCTTATTGTCTAATAGCAGGTACAAGTATTAAGGATTATTGCTTTTAACAAGATAACCATCAGAAATAAGTATGTAAGCTTAACTCAAATCCAAATACTAATTTTTTACCCAAGGCTACAGTGTTTTTTTTCCCTCAAATCAAGTCACATGTTACCTTCAATTCTTTGCTAGTTTGCTGAGGTTTTAAATATAAGAAGTTGGCTGTTAATTCAAAGTCAAGACAATAGCAATATCCACATATACATGTCTTATTTGGGCATTGAGCAGTAACACTGCTTTCTTTCATTTAGGACTTAAGGCACTAAATGGTGGTAAAATAAGCAAAAGTATGATGATTAACAACTTTTTTAGAATCCTAAAAAAAGGAGATAGTTTAGAATGACACTAGTCTTTTTTTCCCAAACAAATAAGGCATCCTGTTGGCAAATGCAAATAAAAACAAGGTCATGTTGAACCTAATACATTCACTGTCTGAGCTAAACTACTTGAATCGCTAACTACTGAACTCAAGGAAGCTACAATAGCATGTATAAAGGTTGGAAAGGCACCAAAAGGAGAGCTCCACCACTTCCAGTTCTAAGAGTTAGGCAAGCTATGTTTAACACTGCATACAGTCTAATCATCAACTTTATTCTTCAAAATGTATAATGTGGTTAGATTTTTACTTCAACAAATCAGTTAATCAAGTGCTAGTTCAGTAAGAAATTTATTTTCATGAATTAAAAAATTACTGCAGTGTCTAACACAACCTCATTTATAAAGCTAAACTAATTCTAGTACTGAATGCATATTCTGGATAACACTGAGGCAAATCTGTATGAACAAAAATGGTTATCTCAAGATAGAGTTTACAATAGAAATTCAACGTATAACTAAGATTTACTGAAAATAATGAAAAGTGTATTACAGATATAGCAAACATAATTATAACCACAACATTTCCTTGTGAAAAATACATCTATTAGTGAGATAAAATGTACAATTGAAAAATTTTCCAAAGGAAAAAACAGTATAAAGGAAAATAGTTTTCTTTGAGATAGGGAAAAATAGTATGTCATTGTTTTTTTCATCACAATATAATTTGACACAAAAAGCAGTCATAGAATTGCACCAATTCCACATCCAGTTTCCTGAACATGTTAAAAGGAGTCCGTAAAGCAGAATGCAGTTTCTGAATTTTATATTTTAAATTGGAGATATTCTTATACAGAATGTCACATCATACCAGATCTGTTTACATAATGTACAATACTTTCCATTTTGTGGCCAGACATAAATGCAAATGTATGCTTTCTGCCACTTCTCTTTCATTCTGGTGTTTAGCCAGAGTGAGTGAAAAAAAAATCAAGTTAAGTGTTATCTCTTTAGCAATGAAGAAGAATTATATTTAGTGCATGCTTCATCATTTGTCAAAAAACATTTCTGAAAATAAAACTCAGTTACCCAATGTTTTACAAAATAGAAAAATCATTCATTCATTAGGATAAAAATGTGGTGGGATTTAGGTCCATTTCCAAAGGACTAACTTCATTGGCAGCACCACGGTCCTTTAGCAGAGGTCACGATGCGAATTCCAGGGCGGAAGCAGGCACACCTGCAGGAGCTCACTGCCTGACATTCGATGATCTGAGGACCTGGCCCCTCTTTGCCACCCCTTCCGCCATTTCATTAGTGCTATAAAAGAGATGGGATTCTGTGGCAATATTATGAACATTTCTGCTGTACATGATTCAGAAGTTCTCCAAATTTTTCAAATAGATCCTCCACCCATTTTACATTTTTCATACAAAGTTGAACAATTTCTTCCTGTCCCAAATCTTCATTTTTTTTCTGCACAGAAGAAATCTAAAATAAAGAAAATTGCCACATTAGCTTATCACTTTAAGTTCTCTACAAGGGCTTATTCTTTCTATATCTTGAATGAAAAGAGGATTTATTAATTCACCTATAAGTAATGATTTTTTTTTTTTAAATTTACCCTTTCCACAGAGAATGCTTATTTCAGATTAAGTTTGGGTAAAGACCAATCCTTTCATCTTGGCCCCATGGGGTGGAGAAGACTAGAAAAAGTGGCCCAGACTTTCTCAATTCCTTCCAACTGTGGTAAAAGCTGAATTACAAATTTTGGAGTAAATTCTGCATTTCAGAGCACTGTAAAAATTGTCAGCATATTTTGCATCACTGCCTTTACTTTCTCTTTTGCTAGATAGAAACTGGATTTATGAACATCCTCCCATACCATTGTCAAACACATCAGGTATGGCTTTGGGCCAACTTAACTCTTTTTAATTAAAAAACTGATACTGCTGATCAGATGTAAAGTAATAAGTACTATCTACAACCACTTAAACTGCCTAAGGATATTAACCTTTATATCCTATCCAAACAGTGGTATTAATGTCATATATAATTTGTAAGCAATGAATATTTAATGATACCTAAAGTTACAATCAACTTTCATTTCTTCACAGCAAGGCACAAAGACCCATTTCTCTGCAATTATGTGGGATAAGGCAGACAGTGAGATATTAAAGCAGTTACTGAAGTGAATTAAAGGAGGATCGTTACACATTATGAAAGAACAAAATGCAGTAAAACACCTTTTGTTATGGCAATGTAAAGCAATGACTAACAGCTTAAAAACATTACCAATTATATCTCCTACAAGAGGTGGTGAGCCTCAGATTAATCTGAGCATAAAACATAAGACAGAATCAGAACAATAAACCTCCTAGTCATTATTTACAGGAGAATATGGGAAACACACACTTTTAACAATTCTCTTTAAAGTATTTAAAAAAAAAAAACACTATAGCTTGAGTCTCCTTAAAGTTCAGAAAAACAATTTCTTTTTTAAATAAATGAAAAAATAAAGACATTACCTCATCCTTACATATCAGATAAACATGATATTTATAATGATGGAGTGAATGATACAAAGAATACAACTGTATTTTCTCTGGATCTACAGCAAACTCCTATAAAAAGAAGAAAGTTTACAGATACATTTCATGAAGCATCTGGGCTTTCAGGAAAACACTGGATTAAAAGTCTCAATGACAATCTTGAAAATGACTTATTTGGGTAGCTATTTGCTTGTATTAATATGGGTAAAAGGCTTATTCAAAATAAGAATTTAAATTGTATTTTAAAATCTTCATTCTTTTTCCAGAATACACTATTCAAAAAAATTTAAACATTATGGAAACAGATGACTTATATAGTAAAAGCTTCCTCTAATCCCTTGCTTCAGAGATACATATAATAGCATGTTATATATCCTTCCATGTTTTTCTCTGATGTGTAACATGTTAGTAACACTAATTTTGTAATGGGAAGGGAGTCATACTATCTGTATTATTCTGAAACTCTTTTTTTTCTTTTTGCAACTTGTTTTTTACTTTAGAAAAACTTGGCCATCTTTCCATTTATTACATGTATCTGCACCTCCCTCCTCAGAATCTTAAGTTATATGGGAACAGGGATTTTTTATTATTTTTCACTGTTGTATTTCCTAGACTTAGAACCATATTTGGCACTGTACAGGCATTCAAAAAAATTTTTTTTGAAGGAATGAACGAATCTCTTCTTTTAAAAAAGTGCACAATATTACATTGTGTGGCTCTTTACTGATCCAGTCTCACTCTAGTACATAACTGGGTTATTCTTACAAACGATTCTGCAATGGCAAAGCCACACATGTATTGATGAATGTGTTTTTACAAGAATACATTTTTTTCTGTGGAATTACATTGCCAAATTGTTTTCTGAAAAGGCTGTAACAACTTATGTTTGAAGAGGAATGAATTCTAATTTTAATGATTTTGCAGATATGGAATTAATACTGAATTTACTTATGGATATGTATCCAATGACAAAAAAAACTATATAACAAGTATATATATGTACAAGCATGGGATGATTCCCTGCTTATTAGTTTATATAAAAAAAATTTGTGAGCACTTACTACATGCCAGGTACTGTGCTTGGCACTGGAGAAAACAATAAACAAGACTGAGTTCCTGTTCCTCAGTCCAGAGCTGCTCATTCCTAACTGAAAAGACTTCAGACTTAACAAAAACATGGTAAAATATTTGCTTGTTTCAATGTTTTAAGTAGGAATTATATTAACAACTGGAAAATGCAGTTACATCAGTCAATATATACTTACTTGTGCAGATTTACTGGTTGTTTTGGAAGTCCTTAGAGTTTTCTTATTATAAGCTTTGCCATTCATTTTGATTTTAGAAATAGCAGATCCACCACTTTTTGCTTTGGAGTCTCTAGTGATTATTGTCAGTTCAGGAAAACTTTCCAAAGCATTCTTTAAAACAATGAAGCAACATAATTAACATCAGAAGAAACTAAACTACTTCCAGTTATTCAGAGTTCTTTGAAAAACAAAAAAGTTTTGTGTGTGTTTATTTAATACGTACATATTAATATAGACACATGTGGAGGGTACTGATAACGTCTAATAAATATATACATATAAAATACATACATGTACACATAGCCATCGGAGGGAGTACTACTGGGTGTGGTAAAGTAAGCATGGTCACGAATTCTTTGCACCTCCTCTCGTCAAGACATGGAGTCCCTGAATCTGGGCTGACCCTATGACCTGCATTAGCAACAGCATGCCATGCTGTGGGACTCTGGAGCAAGGCTGAAAGTTCTGTTTAGTAATGCCTCTCTGGCTTTACAGCCAGGGGAAAGAAGGGCATATGTAAGTTTCTTCAAAGCTCTGCCAGTTTAAACCTCTGTTAACACCCTGAAACTCGGCCACCCCTGCTATAAAGACGTCATCTGATCCTGGATGACAATGACAACAGAGAAGAAAAAGAAGCACCATGGTGCTTTTCTTGCTTTTTTTTTGAGGATAAGATCCTGAAACAGAGCTTAAGTTTTCTGACCATAATGACAACAGTAGCTACTACTGATAATACAGTGGCCATGTGGCCGAACCAATTCCAGTTCATTTTTTAAAAGCCATTGGCATTATTTATGCCCTTACCTACTTCCCTGACATGAAAAGCTTCATCCTGATGTGAAAAGCTACAAACAATAACTGAATGATACTTATGGCTAAATGCATGTAGTTTTATAGTAATTATAATATTGTAAAATAAAATTGAGCTACCAGAATCATTTATTACTGTGACTCTAAAAGGAGCAAAGTACTTACATTATATTTATGATTCAAAAGGTAGTCTTCATTTGATAAGCTTAATTGTTTTATAAACAGTTCCAGCCTTCAAGGCTGTTCTTTTACCAAACTCATATACTATCTCTCAGCACCTAGTACTGTGTCCTTGGTAACAGGGCCCCCCCCCCACTTCTTTTTTAAACAGATTACATACTTCTTCCTGAGCTCTAAATGTAGGAGGGAACTACGTTTCATTTGCCATTAACAACAGGATTTTTCACATTTCCTATCAGAGTGAGTTACTATTAATTTCTAGCTTCTTTCTCTCTCAGATTATTTGTGCTTTTACCATATACTCTGGTACTTTCCATTTAAAATATGCCCAGGTTTGAAAAATTTTGGATCCAGAGATACTATTTACAGCAAATGGAATTTAAAGACTAGAAATGGGATTCCAGATTTGAAAAGAATGAATGCTAGGTCAATGGAGAAAAAGAAGAAAAACTTAAATGATCTTTCTACTGAGCTCAAGATACTAAAGATGATCTGAAGTACACAGATTTTAGAGGAAAACAGACAGAACATCTTAACTTCCAAAGGCTTTGAGACTTCTGAAATCACCAAGACCGTCATGGGAAGCGGTGGTAACTATCTCTAAAGAATAGGAAATCTTTCTTAATATTTTACATTTACAGTCAAATCATTCTAACTTTTAATACTGTGTAGTTTGGCTTTAAAATGCAAACTGCTTTATAAGAAAAATTTCAGAACCAATAATTTATCAATTGTAAACTAATTTGTCAGTTGTTTATCATAAACTATCACAAACTGTAAATATTTACTGAATCTATTAAATCTCAACTGGTGGCATATTTTAATATGTTACTAGAGACTGGATTTGCCATTTCTAAAATGGTTAGTCAAAGCTGATAAGTTTTGAGATTGAGCAAATTTTTAGAAAACACCTATTTAACAACATTACCCTGCCTCCAGGAAATATGGCATTTCCCCAAAGAATATTCCATTTCAAGGCTACAGTTAAGTAGAAAACACTGGACTAAGAGTCAGGAGACTAAATTCTTTGTACTCAGCTTCTTACCAGCTTCTCGCATTTCCCCCCCATTTGTTTTACCCCTTCAAGTATGTGACTACTAGTACAGCTTGGTGCTGTTTAACTTTGAACTTAACTTTGTACTCAATCTCAGAGCCTCAGTTTTCACCTAGTTAAAATGAAGTCAATATTCACTTTCATGTGGCGTTCAGATAAAATAGAGATGTGAAAAAGCTACAGAAATGTATAACATTATCACCATCAATAAAAAACTTCTCCCAGGTAATGATTCTAGATGTGGAAGTGTTATATTTTTAATAAGAAAAGCTGGAAATGTTTCAAATATTAATTAGCTCCTTTGACAGATTTTCTGATTTTAGATTAGCCGTTTGTTTGTTTAGTTCATAGTGCCAAAATATATTAACAGATATAATTACATTACCTATGTATCTCCTACCATTATGTAAGAATCAGTTTTTTCTGAGGTATTGGATAAGTCGGGCAAGTAAAGGGAACTCTGAAAACTGGTAACAAAAGGCCAGTTTTAATTATAGATAAAATGTGAAAATTTTGCAAAGGTTTAAAAGAAAAACAAGATTGAAATAGTTTAAAAGATACACTTTTAGAAAACATTTGAAATTACGTAGAATAAATACTAGATTAAAATAAATGCCTGAAAGAGATCTTTAAGCAGAGAAAAGCAAATAATTAACACTAAGAATTTGCTTAATAAAATACACACTAAACAGACTTACAATGAATAAAAACCCAATGTTTGTTAGGTGAAATATTTTTGTTATACTAAGAATGACTTTCATAAATTTTCCTTCCAATCAGACTATGATCACCACTGAGTTTTGCTAATAAGGAAATACCTTGAATGACTGATCCAAATGAAGATTGAGAAGAAGCCTCTTTCGGTTATCATTCAGCATGCTATCTATTTTTTTCATATGAGGCAAAAGTAGCTCATCTGAAACAACATTAACATTTATTGTAACAGGAAAAACTATCAACACAAAAACTTGTTAAAAATCCAACTGTTTCTCAAAACATTAATATTCTAAAACACTTTAAATTCATTGGCTTATCTAAAATACTGCTCACAAAAAATTGGACATGAAGCTTTCTGAACAAAGACTAAGCAAGTGAGAAAGAGGCAGCTTAGTATGATGATGAGACATACTCTGTACTAGGATCAAAAGCCCTGGGTTTTAACCCTATCTTTGCCACTAGAACTGATGGCAGCTATGTGATTACTGGGCAAGATGCCTCATTTTTCCAGACCTCATGTATCATCTGAAAATCTGAATAATAACAGCATGACAAAATATAAATTCATAAAACATTATAAAATTTTATAAAATAGTATGATCAAAGGGTATTCTCAATTCACTGCAATTTCAGGCAAAGAAAAAGCAGAAAAATGATCAACATCCAGTGTCAGAAAAAGAAAGGAAGGGTCAAATAATTTAGAAGAGAGTAAAAAAGGTATGCTAACGATTTCTACCCAAAAGTTTGTTTTCTTTTTTACCCCTGTGTACCTTACACTCTTTCAAAAGCACCTTCAGAGTGTAGGTTGCTTTTGGTGCAGCATTAAATATTTTAGGTTATTAGACTATTTCTTTATCAGCATAGTACTATGTTATATAAACTAACTGCCTTTAATGACTTTTCTGAAAATGTATATACAACCATCAGAATCTAGGTTACTAACTTCACAGCTGAATAAAGTGACTATATACTTGGAATACAAACACAAGCAGAGTGATCTGGGAAAGAGCACCTCCTCATACTGAAGAGAAAGTCCTTAGTGAAAAAAACTTTCCAAGGTCACTGCAATACACCTGGCAGTTTTATCTTTCCAGTGGTAATTAAATCTATTAAAATACTATAAAAATTTATATTTCACAGGAACAAGCTTTTGTGGATTACTTTAAAATATAACTTAAAAAAAATATTGTTTTAGGGGAAAAGTTTACAGAGCAAATTAGTTTCCCATTCAACAAATTGTACACAAAGTGTTCGATGACATTGGTTGCAATCCCCCTGCTGTGTCAACACTCTCCTCATTTCCACCCTGGGTTCCCCGTTTCCTTTCGTCTGTTTTTTTCTACCCTTTCCTGCCTTCTCATCTTTACTTTTGGGCAGTGTTGCCCTTTTGGTCGCGTACAATTGTTTGTTCTACAGAGCACATTCTTTTCAGGTGTCATGTTGATTTTATAGGCTTGTCTATTGCTTGGCTGGAAGGTGGTTTCTGGGAATGGCTACAGTTCCAAGTCAGAGGGATGTCTCAGGACCATAGTCTCGGGGGTTCCTCAAGACTTTATCAGGCCAGTAAGTCTGGTCTTTTTTTTTTTAATGAATTTAATTTTTTTGTTCTACATTTTTCTCCCGCTCTGTCCAGGACCTTCCATTGTGATCCCAGTCAGAGCAGTCAGTAGCGGTAGACGGGCACCATCCAGTTCTTCTGGTCTTGAGGTTGTGTAGGCTGTGATGCATGTGGTCTGTTAGTCCTTTGGACTCATTGCTCCCTTGAGTCTTTGGTTTTCTTCACTTTCCTTTACTCTGGATGGAGGAGACCACCAGTTGTATGTCAAATGGCCACTCTCAAGCTCTTAAGATGCCAGACCCTACACACCAAAGTAGGGTGGAGAACATTGTTTTTATGCACTATGTTATGCCAATTGACGTAGATGTCCCCTGAGTCTATGGTCCTTAGCCTTCAAGCCTAGTCCCAGAAGGTGTTTGGTTGTACATAAGAAGTTTCCATAACTGTGCCCCTCGCGTGTTCTAAAATACAATCTTTTAATTTTTCTTCCTTTTATTAAATGGAGAAAAATCAGAAAACACTGATAAGCAATAATAGAAAAAAATCATTCCAAACATTGCTACCCTGAAATGACCACTATTAAGAGATGTACATTTTATGATGCAAGGAGTTTTGATTGAGAAAGGAAAGATTTAATTGCAAAAGGAAAGTGCCGACCTGGGGAGATATCTATATGGGTCTTAATCTTGGTTCTTCTACCACTCAGTGTTCTATCACTTTAGGAAACACATTTACTCTCTTAATACTTTAGTCTACAAAATAAATGTTTTAGACTAGGTAATCTCTAAGGTCCTGTTAGCTTCACATGACCCTAAAATGGTTGATATAGGGAGTACTGTCTGATAATATGGTAAGAAAGGCATTGGTCTAGAAATTAGACCTTGGATTCTAATCCTTTCTCTGCTACTTACAAGTGTGGGTCCTTAAGCAAGTCACTTAACCTCTCTGAACCTCACTTTTTTCAGCCACGAAATTGCCCTCTCAGGTGTTCTTGGATTAAAATAAAAATAATGTATGTTAAAGTATGTGGAATTATAAAACAGTATGTATTATTAGGTATTATTGTTGAATTATATTTGTTACTGATTACTCTGTTTTTACTATCTTTTGATTTTACACTGACACCACTCATTTTGATAGACGGGTAAAGGAAACTGGTTTATTAATTCTTTTATTTCTTCTTTTCCTTGGCACTGGAGAATGCTATAGTAGCGGAAGGGTAAAAATTACTGAACAAGATTAGATCTATGAGTTACCAGTTTATTTCATATACCAATTTCGTCCCTGTTTTAATAAAAGAAAAAATTACCAAAAGAATAAAGGCATAATATTAATGGGTATAACCCAGTGCATATATTGCTTTAATTAATTAGGAAATAATTTCTCTGTCATGTATCTTTCACTGAAGACACAAATATAGTATTTTGATCTTTATACCATTATCATCTAGTTCATCTTTCCAATTACTGGAAAACAGAATATATTGACATCTGAACCTTCAACTCTAGTTTCATGTAATGCAGTCTTAGTGAAATACTATGAGAATAATAAAGATTCTAGAATTGAAAGAAACTGGTGGGTAGTTACATAATTTTCCCAACAGTGGAAAAGGTAATAGAAATACATACAATATAATTGAAGTTGAACTACTCAGACAATGTGTGAAAAATGACCCATTTTACAGAATCAAGATATTATGAATTTGTACGGACAGTATATAGGTATATAATTACAAACCATATATAAACAATAGACAAGAATAGAAAAAAAAGAATCTAGAAAGTACTACTTAGAAGTCTGTACCATTGCTCTTCTCTAAGGCTTGCATTGTGTCAGGGTCCAAGGCAATGCTAACAAGCAATTCCATGTAGCTCTTAAAGGTTTCCTTCATTGCTCTTGTGTTCAAAAAACGAGTGACAAAGGGAGCTGGAGGATCAAATTCTGGCAGGGGGAAGAAATGAAATATTAAATTTTCCCTCCTGACAAATTTAAAAGTACTTTTGTTTATAACAAGAGTTCATAAACATATAAAAAATTGTAGACACAATTTCCTCAGATTCAAAGTTCTCCCACATTGCTTTAAAAATACTCTAGGTGAGATTCTCAAAGCTGGTTTGCACATCAGAATCAATGGAGTTTAAAAAAAAAAAAATTGCTGGATCTGTTGTCACAGCATCTCTTGTAGATGGTGGTGGTAGTGGTGACGAAGCGTACACATTTTTTTTTAAAGTCTCCCAGGTGATTCTGAGCCCAACACCAGACCAGCATTTGGAGACCTAGGCCCAGTAGGAACCTGTTTCTCTTCCTCTGGCCTCTACCACAGATACATTCTGCCAGAAGGTGCTACTCTAGTCCTGATGCTTTCTCTATCTTCATCAGGTAGTAAAGAAACCACAAGACAGCTAAAATATTAGTTAATACCTGTTCTTTTTTGCTTCTACACTTAAATTATTATAAAATTCTGGTATGGGACCAGCACATATTAAAAAATTTAATGTGAACATAACCCATGCATAGAGAAAATTTCATTCAAATTCACTGGCAAGATGGCAAAATTAAAAGTTTATCTCAAGTGTGACTTTTTACATTCAAATACATAATTATTATCACAGCCTATTAACAGCAGTTCTAAGTCATGGACTCCTGGGGTTACTCAGGGGTCTTCGATGTCAAAACTATTTTCATAATAAAGATTAGATGTTACTTGCCTTTTTCACTGTGTTGACATTTGCACATATGGTGCAAAATAATGTTGGGTAAAACTGCTGGTGCCTTGCTTAGCATGAGTCAAGACAATGGCACCAAACTGTACTAGTAGTCATGTCACTGCAATGCACTTGCAGAAGAAAAAAAGAAAAAAGCCAGTTTCACTGAAGAATAGTTCTTGATGAAGCAGTCAAAGTTAATTTTATTAAATCTCCACTCTTGAGTAAATTTTTTTTCTTTTTTAAATTCCTGGGGGCACTGAAAAGTAAACCTCTTCCTAATTTTATAGAAGCATTAAAATCAAGCTAGCATGATTTTGAAGTTAAAGGTCTTTAAGCATTTCTTATGAAGACTGAGTAAATGTCTTTCTAATACTTTGTGTGATGAAATGGGAAGTACACATAAAGCACTGATGCTGCAAATTATGATGGGTATCATCTCCAGGAAGAGCATATGGGAAATTGAGTTACAAGATGAACTACCCACTTTTTTTCAAGGAAGCACTATTTTTATTTGAAAGAATGCCTGACAGACACAAACTATGCCCATTCAGGCTTGGATTCTTGGCAGTCATTTTCTTAAAAACCAGTGAAGTGAATCTGTCACTTCAAGGAAACAGCTGACAGAATTTGTTGCCAATGATAAAATTTGGGTTTCAAATGAAAACTAGAATTCTAGAAGACTTGCATCTGTCAGTGTGAGCTTGAGTTTCCCAGCATTTAAAGACTTCATTAATGAGATCAGTGGTGGTATTTTTATTTTGATACTGTAAAATGAAATGTATGAACATTTGGAAGATCTGCACACGAACTAGTATTTTCCAAATGATCAATGCATAAAGTTATAAAATCATGCATGGATAAAAGATGCGTTCAATGAGCAAGATAAACCAATAGATTTTAATGTAACAGAGCAAGAAAAGTTCAACAAACTATCACTCATCACGTTTTGAGTATCAAAGAAAAATATCCAGAATTATCTGAAAAGGCAACTAAAATATCCCTCCCTTTTCAACTACATATCTATGTGAGGCTGGATTTTCTTTATATACTTTAACCAAAACAACATAGAACAGCAAACTGAGTGCTGAAGTAGATATGAAATTGTGACTCTTTCTCACTAAATATTGCTAGTTTTGAAAAGTATAGTTTTTTAAGAATGTATGTTAATAGGTAATAGATTGATTTTAAATAAATATTTTAAAATTTCTGCTTTGTTATTTTGTAAATACCAGTAGATATAGCCAAAATAAATACAAGTTTTTTTTGGATACTCAATAAATTGGAAGATTGTAAAGGGGTCCTGAAACAAAGACTTTGAAAACTGCCAGCCTGTAAATCTGCTTTTATTATCAATATTTATTTTCTTAAAAGCACTAAAAATGCTTGCTTAACTACTAGTGACACCTAGTGGTCACTCAAGTTACCAATGGAAAGGAAGTTAATTGTCATTTGAGGAAGCAGTATAATTGAGTGTAAATTCAGAACCTATTATAAGCAGGAGGCAGGACTGCTAACTGCAGAAATAACACATAATGGTTTCTATACATACACAAAGCACTGATTTTTTATAAATTCCGAGACGTACACTCTAGTACAACCGTTCGTAAGTAGGTTAAAACAGTACATTTAAAGTAGACTGCTGCACTAGAGGAGACATTTTATGACTTTCTATTAAGTGGGTCCCTGTGTAGCACAAATGGTTAAGCGCTAAACTACCAACTGAAAGGTTGGTGGTCAAACCCACCCAGAGGTGCCTTGAAAGATAAGCCTGGTGATCTGCTTCTGAAAGGTCACAGCCTTGAAAACCCTATGGAGCAGTTCCACTCTGCGCACATGGGGTTGCCATGAGTCAGAATTGACTAGATGGCAACTAACAATATTTCTATTAAATTAACCTCTAATATTGGCTCTTAAGCAACAGTACTTACATTACAGCATTGGAAACCATCCTGGACATCAACCTCTCCCTTACCCCGACACCCAATCTATCATTCAGGTTCTGCCAATTTTACATCCTAAATTTCTCACATCTGTAACCTCTGCTCCTTCACTGCTACCGTTACTTAGGCTCAGATTCTCAATTCCTGCCTGGACTGTGATGTCTTGTAATTCAAATTCAAATTTCATCATGTACTCTCCTCCACTTAGACCCTTCCATGGACTCCCCTTTGCCTACAGAATCCCATACTTTTTAGCTTTAGCATTGCATACAGGGCCTTATATGATTCCTTCATCTTTTCCTCCCTATCTTAAATTTTATACTCTAGAAGAAATGAGGTTAGCAAACTTTTTCTGTAAAGGACCTGATGGTAAATATTTTAGGATTTGCTGGTCATATGGTCTCTGCAGCAACTACTGAAATCTGCCTCTGTAGTGGAGAAGCAACCACAAGCAATATATAAACAAGTGGGCATGACTGTGTTCCAATAAAACTTTATTTACAAAAACAATGTGTGAGTCAGAATTGGCCCACAGGCCATAGTCTGCCAATCCCTGCTCTGGACTACAGAACTGCTCAAAATTTCTTGCATATATCACACACCAAGCTTTGACAGCCAGTGGAATGTGTGCTGGTATACTATTATGTTTTACAACTATCTCAGTTTTAATTCTAATATGGTAAATATCAATAGTGATAAGACTATTGTTATCATAAACAAACATTCTTTGGGGGCTTTAATAGTTTTTAAGAGGGTAAATGGGTTCCAAGATCAAAAAGTTTGAAAACTACTGATCTGTTTCAACCTTCTCATTTTATAAAAGGGAAAAAACTAAGGGACAGAGAAGATACCTAGCTTAGTTATGGGCACATAGTTGGTCAGTAGCAGATATATAGTAGTGTGTGTGTGTATATATATATATAATATATAAAATACATTACTATATAATTATTAACTACAGTTTTAGAATTGCTGTTTCCTAGGCTTTTCTTTTAGCATGAACTTAGACGCAGAAGGTTAGAACTAGAGGGCTCTTAGTAATCATTTGATCTAATCCCTGTCCTACCCAAAGAGGTGAGATAATTGGCATTACTAAGGCTAGAACTCAAAAAGGTCATCTTTCAGTTCACTTTTCTATTTTACAAGGTTGCATGTGTGGGTCAACTGCACTATCAGTTGATGTGCTCAGGGAATGTGAATTTATTTTCATAAAAGCCTAAGCAGAACTTAATTAGGTGGATAAACACCCTGAAAAATAAATGAATTTTGAATTGTCAATATTACTGCTCCCCTCCATTCATGTAAATAATCTCAAATTATCAAAATATTTATTTCGTAGAGAACTCACCCTCATCATCACTGCTACTAGAATGGACTTCAGGAGATGAGTCAGATTGGGATGATGAAAATTCTTCTTTCCATTTCTTCCGTTTTTTTGGTGGTGGTTCAGCCTTTACTTTTAGTTGTTTAACTTTGGGTTTCATGGAAGGGGCTTTTGTAGCTGTAGCTTTTGGTGTTGGAGGATCAGAAGTTTTACTGCTACTGCTCAGCTTAGCCTGAACAGTTCTGCAATTTTACAAACAAACTTGGTTAACACTGAAATTTTGTCAAACTAAAATAAAGTAGAAGAATAAATAAGGGAATCACAAAAGAAGAAAGACTAATTACATCACCAACACCTCAAAATTATAGTTCAAATCCTACACATCTCCAATGGTGATTTCCAAAGAACTGTGAATTCTTTAACTACTGACATTCAATATTCAGTTATTAAAAACTCATCGCCATAGAGTTGATTCTGATTCATAGTGACCCCATAGTTATCAAGGGGGTAGTAATTCAATCCCTCTTCTCTCTTCGTTCCTCCCCTCTCTTTATGGAATCATCCAGAGAATACGAACAACAGATGATCAATTGGCTTAAAGATGTAATGCATGATAAACCCCAGTGGTCACATTTAACTCTGACTCAGAACTCTAACAGGCTCTGGTTGTGCCAGGTTTTGATGTGGAGACGCAACTACATCTGTCCTACAGTCCTCAAGAAGCTCTGCTCTGTGCTGGTCCTGGAGATATGAGTAGATAAAATACCACCATAACATAAAGTAGGCTGCTTCCAGTAGATGGGAATCTTAATTAAACTAGACCTCCCTGGCGGCACAGTAGTTAAGAGTTCTGCAGCTAACCAAACGGTCGGCAGTTCGAATCCACCAGCTGCTCCTCGGAAACCCTGTGGGGCAGTTCTATTTTGTCCTGTAGGATCAGTATGAGTCAGAATCGACTCTACAGCAACGGGTTTTGGTTTTTTTTGGTCCCTGGCCCTAGACTGAGAGTTATCTATGGCCACACCCCATTTCCTATATAGACTACAGGGAATTTGGCTAGTTCAGTTATCTTCCAGATTCATGCTCCAGACACCCCAGGAGTCACATTAATCATAATGATAATTCTACTGCACATTTGTCTAGTAATGTGTAGGTCTCATACTGCCTTTTCAAAATTTATCTTATTTTAAATTTGACACAGTGGTAGGTGGAAAAGGCATTATTATTTTCTTTTTTAGATGAAAAAAAAAGGGGCTTCAGAAAGGTTAGTCTTACTGTAGGTTGCAAAGTGCTGGATTCAGACATTTTGTCTCTAAATCTAATGTTTTCCCTACATTGGACTGACAGCAGAAACACTCACGGAAAGAAAAGGGAACTCATACCACCGCAGATGGCCATGAGCTTTACAGTGCCTGCCTCATTACTTTAAGAGGAATAACTTAATGCATCAAGCACTGAATTTTCAGAATTGTATATAATGAAAAAATTCAGGTCTCTTTAATTGATGTAATTTTTGTACAATGACATCATCAATAATAAGCCTTCTAATAATTGCTACATAGGTAGATAAGAAAATAAATACCTGATAGTTTGTGATGGCTTATTTCTTGGCTTTTTGGAACACACTCTGACATATTCCTTTTTGTTTGTGTTTTCAATGAACTTCACATATATCCTTTTGTACTTACTTTTTGCATCTCCAAAATACCCAAGGTACTAAGGAAGAAAACACTTTGAATTATTAATTGTATAATCCGTACATAAATACTACTTTGTTGACTTGATTGACCATCACATAGCCATTCAAAATGCAGCTCTGGCTAGAATTTCACCCTGAATAAAAATGATCCCATGTTCATTCTTTACTGGAGGCCCACATGTAGGAGCCATCTCATTTGGCTCATCAGCAGATGCTAACTCACTCAAAGCTATTGAACAGCTACATAAATACAAAAGAGTAACTTCTGTCAGTCTTCTGATAAATCAGGATATCTGACTAATAATATAAGAGCCTCTGAGTCCATCTGAACCCTTTACAGACTAATTCTAATTCCTTTCCTTTATAAAAAAATGTTAACACTAAAAAAGTATTTAATTTTAAGCAGTTTGCATTTACCCATTTGATTTCATTTTTAAATCAGACAATCATTTTATCCTATACTTTGTAGTTAAAATTTTATGCTATTTTGTATCAGAAATACTCAATATAAAATAAATCTAAATTTAAATTATCTATTTTCCCTAGGATCACTGTCAAAAAATAGGAAAGCTAATGTAAACAAGCATTTTACTTACACTATTTGTAGCAGCAAATTCTCTTTGCCCATCTCTAATTTCAGGAACAAACTTCTGTAATAAAGCTTTTTGTACTTTCCAAATAGCTGGGGGTTCTTTTCCTGATTTTAAAGCCTCCTGTAGGCAGCAGAATTAATTACATTTATAAACAGTAGCATCATTATTTTAGATTTATAGACTCTTAGAACTGAAAGGAATCTTAACCTATCTGTTTCATCCTTTTATCTCTTACCTAGCTGAACTTCCATAATAATTCTTATAAGCTGGTTTTTTAGCCTCTGCTTAAATTATTCCAGAGACAGAGAGCTCACTAACATGCAAAGTAGCCCAGTACACTTTTGCATAGTTTAAAGGATTGGAATGTTTTCCCTTAATGATATTGTCATATATTATTTGTGTAATTTTATAACAGTATATACATAGAAAAACAGACCACAAACAAATATGCTCAAATACTAACAACAGTTCATTATGATCGGTAGAAACATAGAAGATTTGAATGTTATGTTCTTCACTGTACTTTTTAATACCATTCCTCTCCCCCCGCATTAAAAAAAAATCAAAAGCAAATAAACAAAAACCCCAAAAATAGGTTTTCTTAACATAGCTAAAATTTTCTTGTATGAAATTGTAACATTTCTACTCATGGTTCTACAATTTGAAATTATGAAAGTAAGTCTAATTCTACTTTTACATGATAATCCAATTATTTTTCTTTAAAGTTTTAAATTGGATAAGTAACCATTTTTTCCAGACTCCCCCTAATATGATGAGTTGAGAACCTTGAAAAAATTAGTATTTCAGAATGCTCTAATTACTAGTACCTAAATGCAACATGGAGTGGTTAAGAGATTGGCTGCTAACCAAAACATCTGCAGTTTGAATCTACCAGCTACTTCCTGGAAACCCTATGGGGCAGGTCTATTCTGTTCTATAGGGTCGCTATGAGTCGGACTCGGCTCAACAGACAGCAACAAGGTTTTTTGTTGTTTTTTTTTTTTTATGCAACACACTGACTACTTAGAAATACATAAAACTAAGATAAAGTTAAAATTATTTTAAGCTATTTTTCAAAATACCTGATTGACTTTATTATTTTAACACTTTTGATAACTTAGAAAACTTATAAAAATAGAACTTTCTGCCATTTGAGCTAGATGCTATTGAAGTCATTGCAAAGGCTATCATAGGCACTCCAAACTGTGATCTTTACACCTGTGAACATTCACATCACCTTAAAAATCTCTATGTCTTCTATCTTTACCACAAATTCATCACGCTCTCTGTATTGGCCTTCTCCTCCGCTTTCTGTGTTCTCCTCATCTGTACAACCTTCTATGGCAACAGTGTCCTGTCCTTTCGCAAACTGGTTTGAAGGAAGACCATCATGTTCGACGTGTTTTGAGGGTTCTGCAGAGTTTATATTTTCTGGAATATTTACTGTAGATGAAGTAGAGTAGAGAGGTTCTTGCTTGACGACACCCACAGTGGTACAGGAAGTAGTAGCAGTACCAGTAGTACTGGCAGTTGGGCTAGCAGTTGCCACCTGTAGGGCTTCTGAAACTAAAACAAGCAAATGCAAATCAGTAATACAAATATTTAAACATTTACTTGTTTTTAGTAAAACCTGAACAGTTTAAAAAGAAAAGACTTGATTACTTTTGCAATCAAAATGGCTGGAACACTCAAAACCACAGTAAGAAATTAAAGAATGGTTGTTTATTTCCAAGAATCAAAGAGGAAAGAATTGGATCTGGATAACATGCAGACTGAGCCACACAACAAACTAGGAATAAAAGGGAGTTTCCTCAGCCTGATAAAGGGCATCTATAAAAAACCCACAGACTAAATGCTTTCCCCCTAAGACCAGGAACAAAATATGGTTGACCACTCTCACCATTCTACAAAGTACTGTACTGGAGGTTCTTGTCAGGGCATTTAGGCAAGAAAATGAAATAAAAGACACCAGGAAAGAAAGGGAACAAGCAAAATTATCTCCATTTGCAGATGACATGATCATGTATATAGAAAATCCTGAAAAACTGTAAGAAATAAACTAGTTCAGCAAGGTTGCAGGATTCAAGACCAATGCACAAAAATCAATTGTCTCTATAGACTAGCAATGAACAATCAGAAAATGAAATTAAGAAAACAATTCACTTTACAACCCCATTGATAAGAATAAAATAGGAATAAACTTAATAAAAGAAGCCTAAGACTTTTAAACTTTTCACTACAAAACATTGTTGGGGAAAAAAAAAACCTAAAAATGGAAATGCATTCCATGTTTGCAGATTAGAATACTTAATACTGTGAAGGAAACCCTGGTGACGTAGTGATTAAGAGCTACGGCTGCTAACCAAAAGGGTGGCAGTTCACATCCACCAGGCGCTCCTTGGAAACCCTATGGGGCAGTTCTGCTCTGTCGTGTAGGGTCACTATGAGTTGGAATCGACTTGATGGCAACGGGTTTGGTTTTTGGGTTTAATATTAAGATGGCAGTACTCCCCAATCTGATCTACAGATTCAGCACAATCCCTATCAAAATTCCAGCTGCATTTATTTGCAAAAATCATCAAGCTGATTCTAAAATTCATGTGGAAATGGAAACAACCACAAAAGCCAAAATAATCTTGAAACAGAATGAAGTTGGAAGACTGACATTTCTCAATTTCAAAACTTAATACAAAGCTACAGTAATCAAGACATTGTCATACTGGTAGAAGGGCAGACATATAAATCAACAGAAAACAACTGAGAGTCCAGAAATAAACTTTTATATTTATAATCAATTCATTTTTGACAAGGATGCCAAGACCATATAATTGGGGAAATAATAATCTTTTCAACAAATGAGTTTGGGGACAACTGGATGTCCACATGCAAAAGAATGAAGCTAGACCCCTACCTCACACCATATATAAAAATTAACTCAAAATGGATCATAGACCTAAATGTAAAAGCTAAAATTATAAAACTCTTAGAGGAAACTGGCATATACCTTTGTGACCTTGGGTTAGGTAATGGTTTCTTAGATACACCACCAAAAGCACAAGTGAGAAAAGAAAAAAATAAACTGGTCTTAATCAAAATTTTAAAACTTTATGCTGCAAATGATACCATCAAGAAAGTGAAAATATAATCCAAATAATGGGGAACATATTAAAATTCATATATTTATCAGGGACTTATATGCAAAATAAATAAAGAACTCTTACACCTCAAAAATAAAAATAATTTAAAAATGGGCAAAAAATCAGGATATTTGTCCAAAGAAGACTTACAAATGGTCAATAAGCACATGAAAGGATGCTTGACATCTTTAAGTTGTTAGATAAATGCAAATCAAAACCATGATGAGATACCACTTCACATTTACTAGAATGGCTTAATAAAAAATACAGGTTCACTAAAGAGAATATACAAATGGCCAACAAGCACATGAAAAGATGCTCAATGTCATTAGTCATTACCAAAACAAATAAACAAAAAAACTGAACCCACTGCCACTGAGTCAATTTTGACTCACAGCAACCCTATAGGACAGAGTAGAATTGCCCCATAGGGTTTCCAAGGCTGTACATTTTTATGGATGCAGACTGCCACATCTTTCTCCCATGGAGTGGCTGGTGGGTTTGAACCGCCATTTGGTTAGCAGCTGAGCGCTTAACCACTGCACCACCAGGGCTCCCATTAGTCATTAGGGAGATGCAAATCAAAACCACAATGACATACCACCTCACCCCTACTAAAATGGCCATGACAGGTGTTGGCAAGGATGTGGAGAGTTTGGAACCCTCATCCATTGCTGGCGGGAATGCAAAATGGTACAGCCACTGTATAAAACAGTTTGTTGATTCCTCAAAAGGTTAAACATAGAATTACCATATGATCCAGCAATCCCAATCCTAGGCACATACCCAAAAGAACTGAAAGCAGGAATGTAAACAAACTTATACACCAGTGTTAATTACAGCACTATGCACAACAGTCAACAGGTGGAAACAAATGTCCAACAGACGAACAGATAAACAAAATGTGGTATATACATACAATGGAATATTACTCAGTCATAAAAATGAAGTCCTGATACATTCTACAACATAGATGAACCTTGAAAATAGTATGCTGAGTGAAATAAGTCAGTCACAAAAGGTCAAATATACGATTCCACTTACATGAAATTGGCAGATGTACAGAGAACAAAGTTTATTAGTGATTATCAGGGATGAGAGGAAGGGGAAAAGGGAAAGTCATTGCTTAGGGGGCACTAGTTTCTGTTAATGGTGGTAGAATCATTTGGAAAAGTATAGTGGTAATGATGCACAACATTGATGAACATAATGTCACTGAACTGTAGATGTAAAAATGGTTGAATTGGTAAATGTTATATATATTTTTACCATAATTAAAACAAAATACAGATAACAGGTATTGACAAGAATGTGGAAAAATTGCAACCATCATTCATTGCTGATGGGCATGTAAAATGCTACGGGAATTCTGGAAAACAGTCTGGCCATTTTTCAAAATGTTAAACATAGGATTATCACATATGATATGTAACTCAGTTATACAGTCTATATCTGAGGAGTAGTAGAAGGAAAAAATGTATCAATAAAAAATAATCAGTAAATAGACAAGAAAGGAGAGAAAAAGAAACAAAACAGGCAGAACCAAAAGAAACCACAAAGAGGGCAGATTTCAGTCCAAATATGTCTTTAATTACATTAAATGTAAATGGCTTAAATGTTTCATTTAAAGATAGAAGATAATTCAGACTAACCCTCCCAACAAAAGATGATTTTAAAAATTAGATGAAATATAACAATCTTCTTTTTTAAAACATGAAAGGACTAGTGAGAAAATAAGGTACTACCAGGCTGAGATTCAGGAGAAGATGGGTATTCAGAAAGGTGCATCTGGTGTTTGGGGCCACTTTTGTCTAGAGGCATTTGTGCTCAAGAGGGAAAAAACACTGGAGTCTATGGCCTGCGTCATACGGGCTGCAGCCTGGATACCCCATAAAATCCCAAGCCTTGATAGGCATCTCACAGAAGCAAAGGAAGATCTTCTATGAAGGGAGAGAATATCATTTTTGGATTCAAATGATTTCTCCAGATATTTAAGATATGATACCAAGCATTCAATCGAAGAAAACCAAGGACATCAGGAGAAAATACTACATGAATGAGAGAACTAGCACCAAAACAGACAACAGATACAGACCTACAGGTAGTCCAGATAGTGAAATTACCAGACACAGACCCTAAAACAACTATGCTTACTATATTTGTGGGGATAAAAGCCAAACTTAATTTCAGCAATGAACTGGAAGTCCTAAGAAGTGACACTGCAGTTTTTTGAACAAAAAGGTCTAGAAATTCTGAAACTGAAAAATATAATAACTGAAATTAAGAAGTCAATAGATTGGTTTATAGAAGAATAGTCACAGCTGAAGACCTGGGCACTGATCAACAATTGCTATTAGCCATCACAAAAAGAGAGATAAGATGTTATGGGCCTCTTGAGGGAAGAAGAATACACCAGCATGTATGAGGTAATCTTGCCAAAAACACAAAAAGAAAAAAGAAACTAAGTCTGTTCAAGCCTCACAACCCAACTGTGAATTTACAGGAAATATGAGGACAAAGGAATATGTTAAATACACCATAGGACGTAATCAGCAAAATCCTGACTGTGAAATTCTACAGAAAACCCACTTTCTTCAGTAAATAAATTACAAAAGGAAATGGAGGGAGGAACCTATGGATTAAAAGAGTTTTAAGAGACATATCAATTAACCACAACGTTTGGACTTTATTTGGAGCCTGATTCAAACAAACTGCCAAAAAATATTTTGAGACAATGGCAAAATCTGAACACTAACTTAGTGATGGTAGTGGCCCAGGGAGAGAAATATCAATCAGTGGAACAGAACAGAAAGCTATGAAATAGACTCATATATACACAGATACTTATAATCTACGATAGTACTCTGGAAAAAGAATTTTCAATAAATGGTGTCGGCATAATTGGGCTAAATGGATTATAGAATTAAATGCAAAAAGTAAAACTATTATTAGGATTTTTAAAAGGTAAAGGATAGGACTGATAATTTTAGACCTTATTAAAATTAAAGTCCTCTATTCAACAAAAAAGGGAGCCCTGGTGGCACAGTCGTTAAGTGCTGAGCTGCTGATAGGTCAGTGGTTTGAACCCACTAGCTGCTCTGTAGGAGAAAGATGTGGCAGTCTGCTTCTGTCAAGATCACAGCCTTGGAAACCCCACGGGGCAGTTCTGCTCGGTCCTATAGGATTGCTATGAGTCGGAATCGACTTGACGGCACACAACAACAACATTCAACAAAAGGAGCCCTGGTGGTGCAATGGTTAAGTGCTGGGCTGCTAACCGAAGGTAGTGGTTCAACCCACCAGCACACCACAGGAGAAAGATGTAGCAATCTGCTTTGGGTCTGTAGGGTCCTATAGGGTCGCTATGAGTCGGAATCAACTTGATGGCAACAGGTATTCAACAAAAAGACATCATAAAGTGTAAAAAGA